GCGGGAACTTCATCGTCCCGCCAGAAACGCTCGGCCCCTCCGTTCCCTGAGGAGCCGAAGAAATGGGAGTTGCCCTAATCCCTTCAGCAGGGTCAGACTCTGCTCTCTGTCCATTCCAGGTCCCAGTCCTGTTCCTAGGATCGGGAATTGTCCTTGCTCTTCTTGGAGCACGGGCCCTACCTCTAACTCCTCTCACCATGGATGAGTTTCGAAGAAAAAAGTCGAAAAAAGGGGAAAGAGTTCAAATTCGAAGAAAAATAAACTAAAATCAAAGGAAATTACCTTAATCTAAAGCGAAAGTTGCCGATTTACGAATTGGTAGTGACGAGTCTCAGTTTCTAAGCTTAATGCTCGGGGAATTTGCGAAGTTTTGACGCGGGTTCTTGGGTTTTCTCGAGAATTCTGGGTTTGTGTTGGTGAAGAAGTGAGGAGAGATGACGCGCCTCTGATTATATCTCTAGAAATGGGAATTCTGGGAGTCCGCGCTTCAATTTCTCTTAAACACCCCACTAAGTAACCGTTAAACACACGACCTCGTGATTAAACCGCCCATTATCCGTCCAACTTCCACAATTATTCGCCCAACCGTTGTTATTTCATTAATTACGGTTTAAATCCAAATTTCTTGGATTAATTAAATCATTTACTTCCCTCCTTTTCTAATTAATCAAACCCGACTTGTCATCCTTCCAAATCGGGTCTGGGGGGCAAGTTGTTTGGGTCCAATTTAGTCCAATTGGGCCTAGTCATTAAATGATCCAATTAAAAGCCCAAGGTCAAGGTTCAACTCTCCAATTGTACTAAAGTCAAGATCAGTCCACAAGGCAAGTCAATTGGGCCAAGGCCCACATTCTCCATATATACAAAGGTATATAAACCATCAATATTACATTTGTACATTCATTCACACAAAGCCTCAAGCAATTAATTCTCTAGCATAGCTTTCTCTCTCTACACACTGTACTGACTTTAGCATCGGAGGGGCCTTCCTCGACAACACCCCCGAGGCTAGTTTACGTGCGTTTGCTGTGCAGGAAACCTTCGGCCCAACATCACTTGGACCGAATCCAGTCTTCACCACTTCATCGGACATTCGGCAAGGTCCCATTATTTTCATCCGAAACACTAACTTTGTCAATTCGAATGCATGATGTATGTCAATATTTCTATGCGATTATGCCTAGTATCTAACGAAATGTCATAGTTACCCAATCATCCTTGTTCATAAAATAGTTAGCCAAGTAATGTTCCTATAGATGCCTCTGTTGTGAGCTGGAATGTTCTTAGAGATTCCAATTGATTTAAGGTCATACTGTATCATTTGGTACATACATGACAATAATTAATAAAGTGTATTCCATAACAAAATTGCTCCTGTTAATTTGAATGGTATTAAGCAAACTTTCTACCTATAAAACCTGATTTTAGTCAAGGGAATTGACGCCTCTAATCTTTTGGGTCCCTCAAATCACACAAGAGATGCACAACCCTAGAGACTCTTACCGCCTTACGTCTATTAGAGCTTGTTCTGATTGACTGAACTGAGGTGAATTGAACTGAACTTATTGGAGCTGGGTTGAACTGAATATTTTATGAGAGAAGGAAATTAAGAACTGAACTGAACATAACTTATTAGAGCAGAACTGAACTGAACCGAAAATAAGCTAAAGAAAACAATCCCTTACTTCACATTTAGCTAGCTAATAATTGCCCAAAAAGAGAAATCTGATATCCAACCTTTGTTAATCTGTGGCTAATAATTTCTTCGTTTTGTATATAAAATTAAATACATTAAGGAGAACGGTTCAATAAATGAGGTTGAACTTTTTAAGTTGAATTTTAGCATGAATGTCAAGCTTTCATGATCATACTAATACTTTCTCTTAGAACCAACGTCATAAAAACGTAGTGCATTTTAGCTACAAAAATTGTCCACATGTAAAAGGAAGATCTATACTCGTGTTAAATTGAAGGTGACAAGATTGTATTGTTCTGTTTTACGAAGTATTTCTTTTCCACAAACATACAAAGAATAATTTTCATCTAATTTAGGATATTGTGGTTTATGGTATTATTCAAATTCACATTTGATGTACAGTATGATGTATTTCGGCCTAGTTTGTTTTTGATTTGATGTAATGGGCAAACATAAATTAGGAAAAATACAAGCATTAATCAAGTAAGACTCTGTTCTATTTTTGTGTAAAAGAAAAATAAAATGTGTGTTCTATGCATCTTTAGTGAATTCGGATACAATTAGATAAGAATTAATAAGTTCATATATGAGCTACGGCCTGTTCTCATTGACTGAACTCAACTACTGAACTGAACTGAACTGAATTGAGCTGAACTGAATTGAACTAAACTGAACTGTGCTGAGTTGAGTTGAGTTGAACTGAACTGAATTGAATTGAATTTCAACGCAAGAGAACAGACCCTTAATATAGTTTATTGAAATTTAAACTACAACTAAAATAAGTTTAATATTCCGTACAATTTCATAAGTTTAGTCAAATTTAGGGGCGAAAACTCGAGTAAACCATGACCGAAAAATTCAAGTAACCCCTAACCGAGAAACTCAAATAACCCCTAGTCGAAAAATTCAAGTATCTCCGAAAACTCAAGTAACTCATGACCGAAAAACTCAAGTAATCCCTGTCGCACGGTATAACAGGTTAAAATTTGTGTAATTTATACTCAATACAATGCACAACATGCATATATACGGAGCATTTGTTTCTAAAATATACAAATAACAAAGCTTATTAGGTGTAGTTGGTAGTAAAATTAATTTTATTACCTTAAAGTAAATTTCGTGAGGGTTTACAAAGAAAACAAAATTTATTTAATTACTCCGTAGTACCTTTACAAGCTAACCTTTAAAAACAAAATTGCTGTAAAATACAAGTACCATTTATTTAGTACAGTGCATAGATTTAAGATGCTCTAAACCAATCAGGAAATAAAGAAAACAGGACAAAAAGGTCAATCAAGGTCAATTGATACTACAGTACAGTTTAGAGCAACATTAATTCTATCTTACATTTTAACTTTTTAACCTAAACCTCTACAGACTACAGTGTATAAATACTGTCTCTATTTCTTTTTACTCCATTCGTTTTTAAATACTTGTTTTATTTCTCCATGCTCGAATTTTTAAGAGAAATTAAATAAAGTAATAAAATATGGAGGTAGTGGGGTTAGTGGAAGAATAAAAAATTATACTACGTAAAAAGCAAAAGTAGTGGAGATAATTGGAGGATAGAGAATATATGTTGGGACTACTAGGTGAGAGAAATTGATTAAATATTGTAAAAGTTTTCCTAATAAGGAAATGGAGCAAGTATTTAAAAACGGCCGCAAATAGAAAGTGGAGCAAGTTTTTAAAAACGGAGGGAATAGATGACAAGAATTTTTTTAGTCATATTTGTCAATGCACAAATTCAACCATAAATATCTTTTATTATTGATAAAAAAAATTTATGAAAATTTGATATTTTGAAAATATTTATTGTGAGTTTTGTGACGATCTAATAAGATTCCACGTGACTATATTTTTCATAACGCATAAAACGCACCAAAAAAATGTATAAATAGTGCTAAAGTTAAAATGGATCAGTTAAAAAAAAAAAATAGCAAGTCTGAAATTTTATTTCTGTCTGCATGAGAAATGGTTATTTTATTGCTCCGTACATTGGTAAAAACGACACGTGTGGCTGATGGGCGCTTAGTTACTTGGATTAAAGATCCTGTACCCGGCTTTTTTTCGTACTCCGGTATTTAGTTCCAACCCAAAGAAGGTTACCGAGGGAGTAATCGACAGTGATCCACCCCATCTAACATACCATGCATCCTCATATATCTAGCAGCCACGTGTCCCTACTGTAGCTCTCATCATTAATTTAACAATCATTGGACGGCACTAAGTCCCCAAATCACCCTTCCTCATGTACACGTGTCAGCTAGAGAAACGATATTATCATCTCATCATTCATCATCATAATCATATCTTGTTATTATAATAAATCCCACTGTCAACTAGGTAGGTGAAAGACACAAGATCCCTTCTCCCTAGTACTCGTAGTTTACTAGGGGCTAGTAGTAATTTACCTTTCTGAATTAATCTTTTTTATACAAAATATAATGAGAGTAATAGTTTAATCATTAATCTTAATATCTTAACCTTCCACCTAAAGCTTTGGCGGCTTCCAATCTCCTTTCCTAGTTCTACCTCCCGAGTAATAATAACCTATACGCGTCATCTACATGCGGTAATAACATACTTCTTTGGTTTGATTGAATATTTCACTTTTTGCACTTCTAACATCATTCATATTCTATGAACATATATTGATTTTTGTACAAGAAAAAATATAAGTATGTGCCTATGTGAAATATTGTTAGAATTGTCTTAGAATGTATCAGTAGTATACAATACTTTGTAATAATATATAAATATATCTAAGGTCAAAATGCGTGATATTTGGAAAACTAATACGTAGTATAAAGTATATATAGAGGCACTGTCTTCTAAGTCGGTATTTCGGTGCATGAGTTATTTTGTTCTTTACGAATGGCCATATGATATGGCCAGCTACACACAAAGCATAAAGCTTTTCTTATATAATAAAATATAAAATCCAAAATAATTAACATAATAAGTAGTATATTTTCATTCTTAGGACATGTTCTGATTTACTGAATTGAACTGAATTGATTAGAAGCTGAGCTGAACTAAAATGAATTGTTTATTAGAGAAGAAAATTAGGAATTGAACTGAACTAGAGAACATGTCCTAAATGAAAACATGGGTTATTTGGTTATATATTTATAAAAGAATATAATACAATTAAAAATACAGAGTAGAAAATAAAATATACAATCAATTTATAGAAAAAAGAAAAATAATGTTATTAATTATTTATGTACCTCATACCTCATCATAAGTTCAAAACCTTGGTTGGTTCGCTGTCCATCTACTGTAATATAATAAAATCTTTGAGGTCTCTATTTCTCTTTCTTTCCAGTTGGGGGTGTTGTTTTTGTGTCCCCCCTCTCTTCTTTGCGTTCTCTCCAGAAGTCTTTTACTTTTAAAACCCTTTTTTTCATAATTTTTGCAATAATAATAATCCGATTAAAAACCTGATTATTAATATTATTATTATTGTCATTAGTAGCGGTAATTGTTAAGAATAGGGGGGTTAGTTTGACCAGAACTGGGGTGGCTACTTATTTGCCCCACATTCAATTTTTATTTAGTTTCTCAGAAAGAGAGGGAGAGAGAAAGAGAAAGGGAGATCTGAGAGAAAAGTGATACAAATACAAGTAATTAAAATTAGAATTAAAATTTCAGGATTCTTCATTTTTTTTAAAGAAGAGATCTGATTATATATCTCTTTCTCTCTGGTAGAAGAAGATTGGTGTGGTTTTTATTTTCCTTTGTCAGAAAGCCACAGATTCTTTGAGAAAAAGTTGAAGCTATCTAATTTTCTGGTTTTTTCCCCTCTTCTAAATTAAACCACATTCCTTTCTTTAGAAGGTGAACCAATCGAAAAGAAGGAAGAGAGGATTTCTATAACTGGTTTGATCTAAGGTACTTCTTTCTTCTTCTTCAGTCACGTGTGACAGTTAAGGAAAATTTAGAGTGAGGTTTTTATTTTTTGTTTTGTACAAAAATACAAAAAAATTATAAAAAGGTGAACTTAAGAGGAGGGTGGGGATAATAATTTTAGGCGAAGATGATGCGTATGAGGACTAAGTTGACAGGGCTGTCACCAATGAATGGTAACACAGCCAATGGTGACCGACACCGAGGTGCTGGTGTTGTCAATGGCGTCGGCGGAGGTGTCGGTGGTGGAGAAGGAGAAGGAGGACCGGAGAATTGGGAGATGCGGCCATGTGGGATGTTGGTACAGAAGAGAGTAGATGAAGATCAAAATACCAAACCTCCACCAACTATTCGGGTTCGGGTCAAATACGCGTCAATCTACCATGAAATCCATATTAATTCCCAAGCTTCATTTGGTAAATTTTCTATTGTTTTATATATTTTTTTAATTGATGGAATTGGGTGAATTTATTGATTTATGAAATAATAAATTAAAAAATTGCAGGGGAATTGAAGAAAATGCTGGCAGCGCCAACAGGGTTGCATCATCAAGATATGAAACTGTATTACAAAGATAAGGAAAGAGATTCGAAGGATTTTTTGGATATTGTTGGAGTGAAAGATAAATCGAAAATGGTATTGGTGGAGGATCCACTTAGCCAGGAAAAAAGGTACCTTGAAATGAGGAAGAATGCCAAGATGGAGAAAGCAGCCAAGTCTATTTCAGAGATCAGTTTGCAAGTAGACAGACTTGGTGGTCAGGTAATTATATTAATTGTTGTTTTAATTACTTGATTTTCAATTAAAGTTGGAAGATTAGAAAGTATGATTGTCGGACAAATAGCTGAATTTTGGAAAATAATTATGTTTGGATTTGGAAGTGTAATGGAGAATGTTTGTATGACCTCTAAATCGAGGTAATTGGTGAATTATGTTTTAATTTGTTACTGTAAATGGCAGGTGTCAGCTCTTGAATCAGTGATCTTGAAAGAGGGAAGAGTAGCAGAGAAGGATGTTGTAAATGTCATTGAATTATTAATGAATGAATTGATCAAATTAGACGGTATTACCGCCGACGGTGATGTCAAATTGCAACGGAAGATGCAGGTAAACTTTCTGATACTTGTTACTCTAGTAGATATAGTGATTATATGCAGAGAGTAGAAAATTCAGTTTTTCAAGTTAGCTGTGATTTTTACATTTCTTAAATTTTATACAGGTAAGACGAGTTCAGAAGTATGTAGAGACTTTGGATGTGCTTAAGGCAAAAAACTCGACCCCAGCAGCGAATGGAGTTCACAGGACAAAAGAGAATTCAAATGGGCATGCCAGGAATTCACTCAATGGTAATGGTAATGGTAATAGTCAAGAGAAAACATCAAATTTGGGAAAACCACCTCTTCCCACCTCACAAAGACAAAGACATTCTATAGGCCACTCGCCATTACAGCCACGGGCGCAACAAGAGCAACCATCAAGGCAATCTACTTCCGGGAATGGGACTGTGGTAACCACACAATGGGAGACTTTCGAGTCTGCACCCCCGCTTATTCCCGTATCCCCTACATCGTCGGGATCAGGCACTCCAAAACTCATCAACCCCAAGTTCCCTTGGGATTTTGAGTAAGAGAAATTTATACATATCCCCCTATATGTTTTATGTGTGTGGATGTGAAATTTTTATTTTTATTTTTATTTTTTTCACATTCCGATATCTGTGTCCAGTTGGATTTGGTTTCAGTTTGTTCATTCTTTTCTGTATCTAGATTTTGTTAGTACCCCCTTATTGCCTCACCATTTGGGAAATAAACAGGGGATGTATCCATGAATATCGATTAATAATATGATAATGGCCCGTCTTATTTTACTGTTAAGACTCTGGATTCTTTAGATATTTCCCTTCTAGTTGTGGTAGGGGTGAGAAGTAGTAAAAGGTGTAAATTCCTGGTGTTAGTTATAAACATGGATGAATTGGTATAAAGCAATTTGAAAACATAGGCAAGGCCTTAGTTTGTTGCCGCTGTTTTGTATTCCTTTCTCTCTCTTCTATTACAAGCCAGTGCTATTATTGGTAAGTACCATTCCATAACAAAGAATGGTAGATAGCTAGAGGTAGGGAATATTATTGCTCATATATGCTTTGCTTCCTGTGAGGTTTACAATGACAGATGAGAATGTGAACCAAAAGTGGGGAGGGGGAAGGCACCACATTACTTACTTCTAACAAACCACACCATAAATAATCATAGATTGGGCTAACACTAAGTAGGGAGGACGAGGGTAATTTAATACTTGTACCTTCCTCCCAAGAGCAACATTTATGGTCATGGCATGCGTGAGATGGCACATGATCATCACGGGGGCCTCCATGTGCCAACAGGAGCACAACGCTAAGTGCCCCATCCCCAGTGCATTCAATAAATTACCAAGGTAATTAAGGTAATAGGATTAAGATTTAGGGCATTTTATTGGCTTCCCTAATTCGGAATGGCCTATTTTCAGTGTATTCAAATAGCAGTTAAGGGCAGTTTCTAGTTACTACATGTAGGATGCCACATTGGCCAAGATAATGTATATTCATCACCAAAATGATTATAAAAGTAGTATAAACTATAAATGTTATAAAGCTGTGATAATTGGCTATTACCTGGCACAAGTCATGATCTATAAGGTCTGCTTGAAGCTGAAACATTGGGAGCAAGCAAAAAACACAGCCACCTGGAACTCCTTGTTTGTATTGAACACTTCACTTGGAGCGGAAGTTGTCCCTGTCCCTTTGATTCCTGTAAGCACATGGAGGAAAAGTACAAAGAAGGCTACATTCAGATTAGACTGAGCTTCGAAGTCAATTATAATCCAATTGAGCCATGCGGATAGAACAGACAAAATAGCGCGGAAGCATAACACATGGCAAGAGGGAAATTGTTTGCAGCATTTATCTTTACAGATTTCGGGCTACTTCTACCGTTATCAAGTCATTGCAAGCATTGAGATGATAACTGTTTTTGGTAAACATTTTTTTTTTTTCATTATGCAACTTGTATTCACTGAGATAGCTGGTCTCGTGATTAAAAAATTGATCAGCAAGAGAGCTGAAATCGCAAATTCAATCATTAAGGGTCATATAATGTGCTTCAGCAGCAAGGGTTGTGTTAATTCATTATCTTTTCGACCAGGGGATTAGTCTGATGGTCCTCTATGACTAGTTAGATCATGGCTTTTAGCTGTAAAAAGCGAAGTGCATGCTATAGTAATTCTAATTAGCTATACAATATACGGAAGTACTATACTTAAAAAGTAGAATATTTCACCATGAAAAGATTCTAACAGAAAAGCAAATCTAGAATCAAATCTATTTCATTAAGGGAAAATGAAGCTGATCTAAACGTGCAAAATGCCTGGCTTGGGAGCACAAAGACCAAAGAAACAGTTGGGCAAAAGCAGTGATAAGCTTAGTCCAGCTGTAATTGTTATAATATTATACTGTATTAGACAGTGTATACATTAAAACTCCACAACCCACACACTCTTAGCCGGAAAACTAGGAATGAACTAAATTATTTTGCTGCACAGTAAATACACAGAAATATTCAATAGCTGCAAATTGTTTTTAAGTAAAGGGCAGTATTGCATAAAGAATCAACTGAAGAATTTAAAATAAGTAAACGACAAGAATAGACCAAAACAACTCATTTTCTTATTCTTTATGTTATCATAGAAGGTGCTTAAGTTAGAAAAACATCATCAATTTTCAGGATTCTAAAGCTCTAGATATGCTGGAAATTGTAGAACTATTTATGTGACACACCATAGAAAGATTGGGTTGCTACGTGCCTACAGATCTCAGAATACGAAGATGGTTATTAAAGACGGACAGATCTGTAATATACTTTGTATGTATTGCCAATTTTAAGTTCCTACAAGGGAAGAACCCTGTGAAGTTTGCACAGAATCATGATGGCAGATTGTTAAGGCATACTTAGGAGTTAGGACGAAGGTGAATTGTTCACTGCATATAGGATCTGAAAGAACTATTAAATGGTATCCCAAAATATTAGTCATGTTACTGAATCAAATTTCATATTGACAGATAGCACTATTATGTAGAAACACGAAACATAGCACGAGAAAATGACGACATGAGATTGTAAGCTCATCAGCTAAAAGTACAATTTACATAGCATGCCATCCTAATACCCTGTTACAAAGTACTTCCTATTTCCTAAACTGTTCACCCTTAGCTGCAATTAGACATTATGGATGACATTTGATATGGCACGATTGTTAGTACGTATACCAATGACATTGGAGAAGTTCATGCACAGGATCATGGTTTGACCGGTTATACAAATTATAATGGTGTTAGGACATAGCATGTCATCCCGAAACCCTCTGTTACAGCTTACAAAGTACCTCTAACCAGTTCATTATAAGCTGCAACAAGAACATGATGCAAGATAAAGAAAAACATTATGGATGACACTTGAAATTACACGATTATTAGCCTACACTTCCAAAAATCAAAGGGTCATAGCCCTCACAGGTAAACATGAAACACTAACATACACCCTAGAAGAACACGGAAGAATAGTTTTTGTATAATGGTGGAAGAGTACCTGAACAGTGAACAGGAATATGGTTTGACTGGTTGTACGGATGATCGTAAATTCGTAATGTTAGGCAATTCATTGGTAGCAGAAAAGTCTTGTCTATGACTCTATGAGGCCCATCCTCTACCCTTCATAATTAAATTCACAAGAAAAGTGCATACATCAGGATCATCATCATCATATGTCATCGCAAAGCCCACATAGCAGATTAGCAGATTGATCTTCATCACTCTGCTTAATATTACTCTGACCTCCATACATATCTACACTGAAAGGAAGATTTGTATGAATATTGGTTTCAATATTATCAAGAATTATCTTAATGTCTTCACATCATTTAAGAAAAACATACTTCATATGTAACATTACATAAAATAGAAAGGTTTGGTTGATGAAGAACAAGATATTGCGTAGGGTGGAATTAGAACAATAAGAATGGCATGATATTTTCTAGTAATAGGTAAGTAAACAATCAATAATAGCACAGGTAAGTAAACTGAAAAGAAATATTGTGCACTGCTGATCTTCCGACTAACATCATAAAAAAAAAAGATGATAGTAGTTGGACGAAAAGCATTTAAACACTATCTAAACTCAGTAAATAACCAGTATACAGCAATAACAACATTAAACCGAAAACCAAACCACTATGCACAAAGCTTTAGTCCTAGTGTCCTATCCAACACTGAATGATAAGGAGACTGTTTTCCTATGTAAGGTCAGTTTAAGTCTTACAAAAGAGCAGAATATCGGTTTTCTAAACTTCTTAAATCTAACAGTTAATCCGATCAAACTAGCAGTGGTAGTTCATAGACCTACATTTAGATGATTGATTAAACAAGCACGTTAGGAGCAACAACACGAGAGTACAATTGAAGTGCTTGCTCTCATATCTCATGGATGCAATGTGAGATCATGCGAAAACTTTGACTGCATGTTACAGTATAGTTCAACTCCATAAACACACAATCATATGACATATTATTGTAGTAGAAGCACTGATTCAGCATGCAGTGTTCTGATCACTCTTTCGAACTTATCAATTCTATGGTAGATCTTTCCGCATAATTGAACAAGCTACTATTTCAGGAAAATTTTTGAGCATTGCATACTCCAGATTATTGAAATTTCTCAAACCAAAGACAAATCAAACATAGAATCATCTAATATGGAGTAATAGATAACAAACAAAATTTACTAGCAGAAGTTTATAATAGCAACAAATTTAAGCAATTTCGAGTCACTCATCTCCTTGTCATATTCCTAATTTTCGACGCAAAAACTCAGATTATATCAGACATCAAAACCTAAGTATGATGAGCAATTGAATATCACATTGTTGAAGCATTATCAACAGAAATTAATTCATCAAAAATAATAACGGTATATTAGTCCGACAAAATTCGCGCAATTACTCTAACAATCATAAAATTCAAAGTTATAAGGAATTGATCGTCATAGAATCAACGCATCATCAACAAGAATCAGCAGTTTAGGGAAAAATTACAGATAATTAAGCTGAAAAAACTGGATAAATTTAAACTTTAAGTTGATGAAATGCTGCAAATTTTACCTCATTAATCAGTTCTGGAAACCCTAGCTTTTACGAAGGAGAAGAAGAGAGGAGAGAGAAAGAGATTTCGCAACTGTTTCTCGTTTCAAGCGACATTAATTTCTCCAGTGATCGACAAATGAGGGAGGATAGAGCTCTGATAAAGGGGGGAGAATTAGAGTGGCAGTTTTGAATTTGGGAATTTATTTCACTGTGGAAGAGTATTGAGGAAGCTTAAAGCTAGCCCAATTACCGGAGTTTCCGTTGCATGGCCCAAAACCCAAAATCTAGGAGTTCTGCCCACGATGTTTTAAGGGAAAACTAATTACCTTGTTTTGTCTATTTTTATGATGGATTACGATTGAGTTATGAGAAAAACAATGGATATTCCGGTGATGGATGGCTGGCTAAGTGGCTAGGGATGGTTTACGACACATTAAGCGCCTTGTGTTGTCCAGCCGTGTTTAGAGTCTCTTCGTGCTGGAAGGTTGGCTAGGGATTATTTACGACACGTTATGGTGACCATGTGTTGTCCAACCGTGTTTAAGGGTCCTCTCATCCGAAGGCTGGCTAGGATGGTTTACAACACATTATGGTGGACTTGTGTTGTCATCCGTGTTTAAGGGTCCGAACCTTTGGAATCCGATTGACCGTGTATTGTAGGGCTTTGATTTTGATTTTGTGCTTGATGTTGGATTGTGCTATCTATCTT